TTAATGGCATTTAATTAATGGCATTTAATTAATGGCATTTAATTAATGGCATTTAATTAATGGCATTTAATTAATGGCATTTAAATGGACTTTTTCTTCTTTTGCAAACGAAGAAAACAAACGGACCCACAGCAGAGACTAAGACACAAACGTTTCGGCGCAGCTAGCTGCTGCTGCTGCTGCTGCTGCTGCTGCTGCTGCTGCTGCTGCTGCTGCTGCTGCGGGATAAACAGCAATTGTCCCTTTTCTTGTCTTTTTGCTTTTTTGATAGAGAGAAAGAGAGGAAGAAGAGAGACTGCAGCAAGAGGCCCTCAGGCTGAAACCCAAGCCCGTGCCCAGGTATGCTTCCAGCAGCAGCAGCAGCAGCAGCAACAGCAGCAGCAGCAGCAGCAGCAGCAGCAGCAGCAGTTGCCGTAGTAGATGGCGGTGATCATGCTGCTGTTGCTGCTGCTAATGCTCCCACTTCCCCAGAATTCGCTCTCGCCACTTTGCTGCTGCTGATCTTGCTGCTTTACCCCGTATTTCTCGTGCCGAATTCAATTGCTGCTGCTGCTGCTGCTGCTGCTGCTGCTGCTGCTGCTGCTGCTGCTGCTGCTGCGTGTCTCTTCAGATACATTTACAAGCGACTCAACGCTCTGGGGAGACAAGGAGCTTCTTCTCCTTCCCGTCCCTGCTGCGGGGGCCCCCGGGGGCCCCCGGGGCCCCAGGGGCCCCCGGGGCCCCAGGGGCCCCCGGGGCCCCTGGGGCCCCCGGGGGTCCCGGGGGCCCTGGGGGCCCCGGGGGCCCTGGGGCCCCCGGGGGCCCCGAGGCTGCAGCAGGGGCCCTGGGGGGCCCCTGAAGGGGCAGCGCATGCAGAGGCTGCTGCATGCAGAAGCAAAGGGTGTGGGGCTGGGTGTGGGGCCCCCGAGGATGAGGTGTACGTACACCCGAGGCAGCAGCAGCCTGGGGCCCTTTTGGGGGCCCCTGGGGGCCCCTCGTCGAGCAGCAGGGAGCAGCAGCAGCTGAAACGTATGCTGCTGCAGCTGCTGGAGGAAGCAGCAGAGGAACGCCGGCTGCAGCAGCTGCAGCAGCAGCAGCAGCAGCAGCAGCAGCGGGATGTGGGCCTCGGCTTCGGGCTGCAGCGCAGCACAAACACAGCAACAGCTGCTGCTGCTGCTGAAGGAGTGCTGCCGCAGCAGCAGCTGCAGCGGCAGCAGCAGCTGCAGGAAAGGCTAGCCTATCGCCAAAGAGAGCAGCAGCAGCTGCTGCTGCAGCAGCAGCTGCAGCAGCAGCAGCAGCATTTCCTGCAGCAAGGGAGCGGCGTGCAGCCGTCGGCGGTGAGAGCCTCGCTGCACTTCGCTCCACTGCAGCAGCAGCAACTCCTGCAGCAGCAACTACTGCAGCAGCAGCAGCAGCAGCAGCAGCAGCAGGGGGCCCCTCTTCTGTCCCCTGTGGGGCGATGGACTTTACCTGTCCCCAGAGATATTCCCGTGGGGGGCCCCCCGAGGGCAGCTTTTGGTAGGGGGGGCCCCTGTCCCTCTGTCTCTAAAAAGCAGCAGCTAGCAGCAAAAGCAGCAGCAGCAGCAGCAGCAGCAGCAGCAGTTTTCAAGAAGTCCCATAGTGCTGCGCAGCTTCACTGCCTAAGCCCGTATGCAGCAGAGGTTTCTTCACCTGCTGCTGCTGCTGCTGCTGCTGCTGCTGCTGCTGCCTGTCGCGCCGGCGGCGCTGCTGCAGCTGCTGCTCCACGCAGCACAGCAGCAGCAGCAGCAGCAGCAGCAGCAGCAGCAGCAGCAGCAGCAAGAAGACAAAGAACCCCCATCAAGGCCAAAAGGGCCTCCACGCCTGCCCCTTTTGTCTGCGGCAGCACGCGCAGCAGCCACAACATCCTGCTGCAGCAGTCAGCAGCAGCAGCAGCAACTCGACTGGCTGCTGGCAGCAACAGGAGCAGCAGCAGCAGACACATCAGGAGGTCCCACAGCACTGGAGAGCTGCTTTTGAAGCCCAAGGCGGCAAACCAGCAGCAGCAGCAGCAGCAGCAGCAGCAGCAGCAGCAGCAGCAGCAGCAGCAGCAAGCTGCAGCAACACTTTCTGCAAGACGGGCAACGACCCCTGTGAAGCTCCCCACAGCCGCTGCTTCCCGTTGCTGCCAGCCCCAGCGCATGCAGCAGCAGCAGGCGCGGCAGCAGCAGCAGCAGCAGCAGCAGGAAGACGCTGCTGCTGTTGCCTCTGCAGCAGCCGCCAGTTTGCTGCTGACTGTAGAGGCCTCAGCAGCAGAAGCAGAAGCAGAAGCTGCTGCACTGCATGCAGCAGCAGCAGCACTTGCTTCCGCGCAGCGCAGGGCCTCGCTGCAGCTGCTGTCGCTGTGGGGATCGTGTGGGGTGGAGACGATCCCGATCCCGATCCCCGAGGGGCCCCACAGCAGCAGCAACTTCTTGCTGCTGGAAGAGCTGCAGCAGCAAACAAAAGGAGACAACTTCTTTTTGGAAAAGATCCACACAACAGCAAGCTCGCTGGACTTGCTGCTGGAAGGAGACAGACAAGAAGCAAAAGCAGACAAGTTCTGAACAAGCTGCTGCCCAGCGGCAGGCTGCTGCTGCTGCTGCTGCTGCTGCTGCTGCTGCTGTGCTGCTGCTGCTGCTGCTGGTTTGGAACGGCGGGCAAGAGCTCGGGGGCTCTAGCCCACTCCAGCAGCAGCAGCAGCAGCAGCAGCAGCGGTGGCAGCAGAAGTAAGAGCAGCAGCCGCAGCATAAGCACTAGCAGCAGCAGCACTAGCAGCAGCAGCAGCAGCAGCAGCAGCAGCAGCAGCAGCAGCAGCAGCAGCAAGCGGCTGCTTCTCGCCTTGGTGTTAACAAGGCCTGAGGCTGTTTGCTGCAGGTGAACATACACTTGAACGCAAGAATTCAATTTATTTGTTTTTTGAATTCTTTTTCACTTTTATTTTATTTTAAAAATAAATTTTTATTTTTCTTTATTTGCATTTATTTGTGCAAGTGATCCAGGTGTACGTACACTCGGCGTGCATGCAAAAGTACCTTTTTAATTTCTTTTTTGTTTTTTTATTTAATTTAATTTAATTTAATTTAATTTAATTTAATTCTTTTATTTTTTGCAAATTATTTATTTGCTGCTTTTACGCCCCCGTGTCTCTTGGCACTGTCTCTTTTTGATTTCTAATTTCTTTTTGAACTTTTTCTTTTTTGTCTTTTTTTATTTTTTAATTCTTTTTTGTCTCTTTTCCATTTTTGTCTCTTTTTAGTCTTCTTTTTGCATCTGTTTTTCTCATTTGTGTCTCCTTTTTCCTCTTTTGATTCTTTTGTTTCATTTTATCTTTTTTTATCTTCTTCTTTTTTCTTTTTTTGATTTCTTTTTCGATTTCTTTGTCTCAAAAGGACAAAAGAATACAATAAGAGAAAACCGGCGGGGGCCCCCAAATTGGCTTATTAGAGATTCTCAACGGGGGGCCCCCCAGGGGGCCCCCAGGGGGCCCCCAGGGGGCCCCCAGGGGGCCCCCAGGGGGCCCCCAGGGGGCCCCCAGGGGGCCCCCAAGGGCCCCCTTAGGGGCCCCCCTAGGGGCCCCTAAGGATACTCTTAGGGGCTTCCCAGGGGGCCCCCAGGGGCCCCCGTAGGGGCCCCCAGGGGTGCCCCTAGGGGCCCCCCAGGGGCCCCCGTAGGGGACCCAAAGGGGCCCCCCTAGGGGCCCCCGGGGGCCCCACGAAGCGGAAAAAAAAATAAAAAGTTCTTAAATGTATTTGTTGCAGTCGAAGGGCAACAGACCCTCCAGAAAAAAGGAGAAAAGAAAGAAACTGGCGAGGTGCTGCTGCTGCCAGCAGGGAAACGAAAAGAGACAAAAAAAAACAAAAAAAAGGAAAAAAAAGGATTAAAAAGGCACAAAAAAGGGAAAAAAAGATCAAAAAGGGGACAAAAAAGGGACAAAAAGAGACAAAAAAAGGGACAAAAAGGAACAAAGAAACAAAACAGATAATGAAAAAATAAAAAAAAAGAAAAAAAGAGAAAAAGGGAAAAAAGTGGGAACGAACTCTCTCCTTGCGAGGCCCACAAAAAGACGAAAGGAACAGAAATAAGTAATTAAACATTTTATTTATTTATTTATTTATTTATTTATTTATTTATTTATTTATTTATTTATTTATTTATTTATTTATTTATTTATTTGATTCATAATTCATTATTTAACTGATTAGTTGACAAACTCTGGGTAAAAAAGGCAGCAAAAAACGAACGCAGCAGCAGAGCTTTGGCCGCAATGCATTCAAGCTGCTGCTGCAGCCCAGCAACAGCAGCAGCAGCAACAGCAGCAGCAACTGCAGCAGCAGCAGCAACTGCAGCAGCAGCAGCAGCAAGTGCAGCGGCTGCAGCTGATGCGAGAAGCTGCCGCAACCCCCCGCAGCTGCAGTTGCAGCGCGACTCCAGCAGCAGCAGCAGCAGCAGCAGCAGCAGCAGCAGCAGCAGCAGCAGCAGCAGCAAATTAGATTGCCACAATCCAATCGGTTTTCTCTTGCGGCATTAAGGCCTTTAGGGCCTCAAGTAGTCTTTTTGTCTCCTCCACAACTTCTTCTTCTGCAGTCCCTTTTGCCCTTTCCGCCCACTCAGGGGGCCCCCCAGAACCCCCACAAAGAGGGGGCCCCTCAGGGGCCCCTCCACAGTTAAGGGCCCCAGGGGCCCCTCCATAGTTAGGGGCCCCAGCCGCCCCTCCACAGTTAAGGGCCCCAGGGGCCCCTCCATAGTTAGGGGCCCCGGGGGCCCCCCTGGCCTGTTCTGGCCTGGGGTTCTCAAGGGGCCCCTCAACGTTGGGGGCCCCTGGGGCCCCACATGTCTCTCCTGTGCCCTTTTTGGTCTTTGTTTGATGCTGCTGTTCCACACTCTCTAAAGGGGGCCCCGGGGGGCCCCCCAACCCCCCCAAGAAGCTGGTTTGGGGCCCCTGAGGGGCCCCCTGAGGCCCTCTGAGACCCTCCTGGGGCCCCCGAGGGCCCCCCTGAGACCCTTCGAGGCCCTCTGGGGGCCCCCCGGGGCCCCCCTGAGACCCTTCGAGGCCCTCTGGGGGCCCCCCGGGGCCCCCCTGAGACCCTTCGAGGCCCTCTGGGGGCCCCCGGGGGCCCCGCTGAGGCCCCTCGAGGCCCTCCTGGGGCCCCTGGGGGGCCCCCGCAGCGGCGGTGCTGCAGGCTGCGGGTTTGGTGGGGTTGTTGTGATTGAAAAGGTATTTATTTTTTATTTTTTTGGACTTCAAATAAATCTCCAAAAGTTCCCGCGCGTCTGCTGCTGCCTCTGCCTGCAAATTCATTTTTTCTTGAAGAGACATTCCCGCGAAGAGCCTGAGAGGAAAAAAAAAAAAATAAATAAAAATGGATTTATAACACTATTTGTATAATTATATTATTGAAAATAATAAACAACAAATACAATTAATAAGTAATAAACAATAAACAATAAATAATAAACAATAAATAATAAATAATAAATAATAAATAATAAATAATAAATAATAAATAATAAATGACAAATTATAAATGGTAAATAATAAATAATAAATAATAAATAAAGAATTGGTAAACAGTTACTAGGAGTGAGCAGTTCAAAACAAATGAAGAAATGACACAAAAGGAATTATACAAAAATAAACAAATAAAAATATAATTATAATCCAAGTATTGAATAACAAATAAAGGAATCTATGCTGAAGAAGTAATAGAAAAGTAGAAACATGTAATAATAAATAAATAAATAAATAAATAAATAAATAAATAAATAAATAAATCAGAGACACGCTGAAGACTTCTCGGTGGCCCCAGGGGGG